AACATGTAAATTTTATGAAATGAACATCAAAAAGTTACAATTACCTTTCTTGATTTGGCCAGCTTATTCTGAGCCTCAAGCTTGGCTCGGATTTGTCGACGCCTAAGGATGGCACGGTGTTGTTTTGCGTTGACATAAATGGGCATGCCTTCCGTACAATCAAGAGGAAGAGCAACTCTCGCAGATGTGATCCCCACCATCTGAGGATATTGCTGATTATATTCCAAATACTTCCAATTAAACTTCATGGTGAGGTATGCAAAATGTCTCATAAGAGGAAAGAACTTTTTGTGAGTCAGTACTTACAACAGCATTTGGGCTATAAGCAACCACGAGCTGGCCGAAGTAAGATTCAGACAAAGGAAAGGATATGTGAGCCTGCACGAGAATAGTGTTCGACGAAACTTTTAATAACTGAGAATCAGCTTTCTTTCTCATGAAAAGTAGAATGTTCAATACGAATGGTGACAGGTGAGAAACTAACCATTGACTGATTTTGATCCGATTGAACTTGATGAGCGATGTTATCTGCATTTCCATACAGCAGAGATGGATTGATGAAATCCTCCCCTTTCATCTTGTGATTTTCATGGCAATCTAGGTGCAGGAACATGCAAGATAACATAGGGTAAGCCATAAACAATCATACATCAGTACCGTGTAAAGCCCAACATTCAACCTTGTTTTAAGAAAGAGACTTCCATATTCTAGCATGATACGAGTATTTTTGAGTTGGTGGTCGGTGGAGCCAGTGCATGGTAATTGAAAACCAACAAAAGACACGGGGAGTGGCGTGCCATATCAAGAACATATATATATCAAAGGAAGATGTTAGATTAATGGCTATGATCTGATCGTATCCAGGAAAATGCTGCTACCACCAGAAAGAATTAAGAATAAATTCTTGATAATATCTGCAAAACATAGTTACTCTATAATACAGGTATAGCTTATCTTCTCTTCTTGAAGTTTACTCAGATCTAGCGCGATGGAACAAAATGGAATCAGGTATGAATGATTGAGTATAGCAGGCATATGAACTTTGATAAACGTGTCACAAACTGTAAATTCCCCATAACCAACAACATAAACATAACTTCTATTTTAAACTTCTAAGAATGTTGAACTTGATCAGTAGGCTGGTGGTTGAAATTTGATATTGGACTAAGAAAGATATGAAACCACCATATAAAAAAATAGTATGGATTGGAAATAGAACTCAAAGGCCTTTTCCTACCTTCGTAGCAATGAAAATCCGCCTGAACACTTTTTTAGATCCTGACTCCACACTGTCGATGAAATTTAAGGCTGTCAAAGGATGACGAATATACTCAATTATGGAAAGTTTACCATATCCTTGGATAAGAGCACGTTGACTTATAGTCTATCGAAATAGATAGCAGGGAAGAAGGGGATACAAAAGAATATAGAGAAGTAATGGCATAACTTTTGAGGCCTCTAACCTTTACTGCAAACACAAGGAAGCATGTTATTATAGCAAATTTCATTCGTAGAAACAAAGAACCGTGGAAAAAATGATGGAAAACACTAATTTTCCTCCATAACATTGGGGCGGATATGGATGTATCAGCATTCTTTGCAGTGTAAAGGACCACACAGGACGAAGGTCATGCAAGGCACGATAGTTTCCATTTTCTAAACCCGTAAAATCCAAAACGTTGATTAACCATAAACTAGGAAATGATGTCAATTTTATTTCGAGTGTTACCTGACTGACATGCAATATTTTGCATGTAAGACTTGGCTCTTTCCACAGCAGAAGCTTCATAATGAGATTGACCAATAGACAGAGTAGAGAAGGAATCCTGTTTATGAAATTGAGACTCTGACTGCTTCACATCGAAATAATGTTCCTCAGCAGATTTCGTCTCCTTGAAAGGAGCATACTGTTGCTGTCTGGTGGAGCGACACAGAGATGAACGAGTGCCAAAAAAGCTCGCCAGTGAATCAGCGGTTGTTTGATCAAGGTCTTTTGTGGATGTGTTTAGCATCCTATAACTATTGAAGACTCTTTTATGGTAAATTGAAGCACGTGATCTCTATCAACAAACTAGATAACATTTTCTGATTAGAAAATTACCCGACTGAAACAGTAACACATAAATCAAATTCATCGTTGAAAATTCAAATAGATATGAGATGGAATGTTTTTCCAAGTAACTACCCTGCGGCGGATGTCAGCGGTTCAAGTCCGCTCATCTCCAATTCATGAACTTAGCCAATACGAAGCTATACGATAGCACCCAATTTTTCTGATTCCGCGGTATAATATAACAAATTTACTATCATAGTTGAAGGGAAAAAATAGTATATTGAATAACTATAAATTCATGGCACTAACTTGATTACTCATCAAGGCACTAAGAAAAAGGCAAAAAAGACAAAATAGGAAAGAGTGGAAATGCAAACACTAGGAATCTTTGCAAATCATTGTTTGGAAAAACAACTCCATTCAACACGCACGGCAAATCCATAGTTTCCAACATAACGAATGGAAAAATAAATTAAGGTAGTCATCCAATTACAGTCCTAATATTCAACTGTATGCCTATTTCTCTTCATATTCTATGATTAATAGGCATTACTGCCACTGCCATGGTACAGCCAGAGGCGAAAGCCCAAAGGCTCAATTGTGGCCTGATGACATCTCACCCAAGGTTATTGAAACTTATCCATCTCAATTAGGTATATATACTTTTATTTTAATTTTTTTTGAATATTAGACAACACAAGTTCATAGTTTTAGACCTCTTAGTCCAATTTGTATGCACCATTGTCCTTTCTGTACACTAGGATTATGACTTTATTGTCTAAAAGACTGCTGTCATGTACATAAACTCCAAATTTTATAACTGAAGCTTCAAGAATGTGTGGTTATGTGTATGGATATATAGAGAAAGATAAGGAGAAAGAGAAAGAGAGAGAGGTACCTTTAGAGGATAATGGTGCTGCTAAGAGAGATAGGGGCATCTCCTTTGTTCTTGAACAAAAGCCATGCCTCTAATCCTTAAACTTATTGACATAATAGTACAAATAATGAATAGTCAACACTACCCAATAAACTTTCTTATTTCCATCTCCATCTCCACCACCACCACCACCTTCTTTTGTTCTCTTCTGGGATTATATTGAATTAAGAAATCTTGTTTTGGATAAATTTCCTCAGATCCCACTAATAATTAGGATTAGGAGATGTTTAAAGACTAAACAACTCTCTTGAACTGAACCCACAAAAGATTAAGAAGAATAATTCAAGATTATCAAGTAATATTGCCTTGTGATGTCCCTTTTCTATCTTCTTATTAACTGTAAAAAACAGTTGACAGAAAGGGCTGCACTACGCCTTACTTATTTTTATTTTTTGGTCTTTTAATTTGATTTTAACTTATTTAGTGTGTTAAAATACAAAGTTACCATTTTAACTTTTTAATCAGTCAAAATTGATCAGATTTTGATTTTCTTGATCAATTAATGGTCAAATGAATAGAGACCCCAGCTGCTAATTTTTTAAAGATTTGAGACTTTCACTGAGACAAATTGAAAATGAAAGGTTAGGGACCCCTGCTACAATTATCCAATTATTAAATCGCGTCACTTTTGTTTGTATTATAACACTGGATTCCCTTCTTCGATGTCATCATCATCATTCAATAATTATTGAAATGGATTAAATTAAACAAAGTAGATAATTGTTTAACTTGATCTTATCAAGTAGATAGAAAAAAAGTTAATGTTCCCATCATCTTTAATTATTCTCCATCACTGCCGGATGAAACATGGCAAATGATAAATCTAAATAGGAAGCATTTTTTATTTTATTTTTAATCAGAAAATATACTGATTGCACTAATGACGAAAAAATTATGGTTTAGATGTCACACCATTGACGTTTAATGATTAAGATCACCATCAAACTGTTCCATTAGTTTCAAGGCATCATCTGACGTTAATATCAGATATTAATGACTAAATCCCACTCCACAACAGTGAACCAAACCTTCTGAGTCGACTGTCGAATGGATCAGACTCTTTCCATGTAATCTTGACATCATAACCAGATTCCCAGTTCTAGTGGCTTGTTCAAGTAACTGGCCGAGCCCAGCATGCTCGGCGGCTTTCCCCTTGCTCACTGTGTAAATGCAGATGAAACCCTGCAGCAATAAATTAATCAATTCATGGAACAAGTTTTGCTTTTGTTACGTCCCACACCAAATCACTTCGGTAATACTATCCCTCCCCTACATGAAGTGTCACGTGTCCCAACGAAGTGATTCCGAAGTGATACCCCCCTATGACTAAGGCCCAACTCCACGCACACCGCAAGGCACACACTTCACAAACTAGATCTGCTGAACAATCAAAGCGTTCCCTTATGACCAAGGCGTCTTGCTAACCGAGGTGATCCCTTAACAGACCTCCGTCGCCAGTTTTAGAATCATATCTATGTCAGGATCTTCTAGGGATTTGACATCTCCAAGGATCTAGTTCATGTGACATCAACTTTATGTCAACTCAAACTCAGGAGAATTAATAACCCGCTCACTTTAGACGCGGCTGATTGATGCCTACGAGCAGACATCTCACACCGTCAGATGTATACACATGTCCCACATCCAACGGTGCTCCTTGTCTATAAATATTCAAGGTTTGGCAAGAGAAAAATGTAATGAAATTTATACTAAACAAAGCTCTCCACATTCAAGCATTATATATTCTCCTCTCCACTCTCTTACATAATTTCGACACTGTTCCGATTATCGATTACTGACTTGACCGTCGGAATGTATGCGGCCATCGTTGCCCCCATTGGTTCCGACTGTGTACTCTTGACCGTGCGATATTGTGTGCAGGGAGAAACACGTGGAGTGACTCTCGGTTGGCCATGTGGAGGTCTATTTCGTAAGGTCAACAGACCGTTTGTGGAAAAATTCCAACCAAAGAATTCCCCATTTACCATCAAAAAAAGCCATCGAAAAACTATCGCCTTACCTTGAAAAATGCACGTTCTTGAAAAAGAACCAAGTCAACTGTCTCAAATTCATAACACCCTCGAAAAAGGATTGAGAAAATGAGTTATAGCAATGAGGATACAAATCTTGAAGGGCACAGGGATGCCTCTGAAGAAGGGGTAATCCGGACTAATGTCACGCATCGGAGACCCCATCACCACCGTCACCAAGGTAACATGACAGCAACACTCACTAAAGGGATGACTCAAATAGCTGCAGGCATAAGAGACATTGCAGCCCAAAATCTAGAGATTCTTGAATTCTTCATACAAGTCCAAGGTCAGCATGACTTTCCAATGCCATAAGGGCTACACCCAGCTCAAGGACAAAACCTGACATCTCATGCCCGGGGTCATTCAAGCGACCACGGGGAACACCCCATCGAGAGAGAAGTAGGACTGGATGTCACTTCCTATACCTAAGGGGCTCACACAGCAGAACCACAATTGGGAGAAAACTTCCCACCAGATTACGAACCTCAGAGGTCGGTTAGTGTTTTCGACCGGATAGGGCGAAATCCTAGCAATAGGTTCCGCTCCATACAAAGGTCAGCTTGGCAGGAGCAAGAGCAAGAAGAAGAACAGGAGGCACCATCTCTATCTAGAAATAGGCGGGAAAGAAGACAATTAGTAGATTGGGGTAATCGGGAAGCGACACCTCCACCTTCCCAAAATGCATAAGAGGGGAAAGGCTCTGAAGGGCCATGTCGCTTCTACGAAATTGATGATGATGATGATGACAACTGTCCCTTCTCCAGAGAAATCCGAAGCTTCTCGATGCCTGCGAACTTCATGTCTCCTAAAATCCCTAAGTATGAAGGAAAAAGAGACCCACAGAAACCCTCACTAAGTATATGACGCAAATGAGCCTCAGAGGAGCCTTGTCGGCACTAAAATGTAGGGCTTTCCATCTGACCCTTACCGGAGCTGCAGAGGTGTCGTACAGCAAGATACCGCCCTAAGCATCAGAAGTTGGCTAGATTTGAAGAAGATATTTCTGAACCAATACCATTCACGAAGGGAAAGAGAGACCACAGTACAACGCCTATAAGATATGAGGCAAGCTCCTGGCGAGGAGCCACTGAAAAGCTATCTCGTCAGATTCACTGACAAAATCACATACTCCGAACAAGTCACTGATAGAGAGGCCCTCTCAGCTCTAAAAGGAGGCCTCAACATGAACACATTGTTCTACGAAGCAAGAATCTGAGTACTTATGACGAACTAATTGAAATGATGAGGGTGGAAATCGTCAATGAGGAGATGATTGATCATCGGAACCGTGCAGCTCAGGGACTTCCTCCGCCTCAGAGGCAGATGGGTCAAGGACCAGCTGCATACCTGGTCAACCAGTAATGGACCCAGGCAGGTCACACAGTAGCCCCCACATCCGAATAGGCATTGACTTCAGCCACGCTGAATGCAGAGCCAGTGCTGGCATATGAAAATACTCCTATCGAAGCAGGACCTTTCGGGGGAACAAACAACCGGCGCAAGAAGAAGAAGCAGGCGAGCAGGCCCTTGGAAGGGGCAAAGTTTTGCACATTTCACCAACTCCTTGGCCATGACATCAACGAATGCAGAGACGCGCCTCGATCATCAAACCAAGGCAACTCACTCTGCTCCAAGATCGACCATTATCATGAACACTCCCGCAAGTCCACCTCTCTAAATAGGGAGTTGAGACGATAGCGGATCAATCACCTCAAAGGAGAGAGACGAGAGATAGATCTCGAGGAGAATCCACACAAAGGAACAGGCCCCAGCCACTGGAGACGATACTATTCGAGAAATTGATACAATCATTTGGAACCGTACATCGAGAGAAATACCAGAATGCCCAAAGGAACTACACAAGGAAAGAAAAAGGCCCACCAATGATCACTTATATCGTCAACCGGTCCCATATTAGCAGAATGGATCCAATCACCTTCTTCCAAGAAGATTCACAAGGTGTTCATCACCCACACTGTGATACGTTGGTAGTAAGGGCCGTTGTGGCTCGGAACGGACTTAATCGCATGTTGGTTGACAATGGGAGCTCGTTGAATATACT